AGAGGTGAGTACGGGACGTTAGTCCTTGTGGGAAAGCACCATGTACGATCACTACAATCGTACATGTAACAGACTCCCCGACAGAGGTGAGTACGGGACGTTAGTCCTTGTGGGAAAGCACCATGTACGACCACTACAATCGTACATGTAACAGACTCCCTGACAGAGGTGAGTACGGGACGTTAGTTCTTGTGGGAAAGCACCATGTACGACCATCACAATCACATATGTGAAAGGCTTTTGAAGAGTTGTGAGTAAGAAGGTATGATCAGTCAGGAAGTAGTACCAATTTTGGCTGACCAGTTCAGCCTCACTGGGTTGAGTCTTCCTTTAGAGGTCCCGCGTTTGGTCATTTGGGTATGAATTGCATGGCCTGATTCAAACCAAGTCTCTCCTTGGTCATCTAGATAATATTGATATCAACGGACTCTTACGAGAGGAAATATAGTAGTAACCATCCTTTTTTCGAACGTGTGTAAGTCTTGATGTGTTTTAATTAAATGTGCCCTGGTAATTACATTTCACTAGATGTACAGACAATTCAATCATTTGTTTTTGCTGTTGACAGAGTGTTACTGTGTCTTACCATGCCTCGCTGGAAACCGGTCTTCTGATGGGTTCGAGCCCTGTACAGAGTGTCCGCAGAACTATTATACTCACCAGAACCAGTCTATATCCTGTGTAGAATGTCCTGAGGAAACCTTGACATTGGAAATAGGAGCAACTAGTAACGCAAGCTGCATAGATGCAGGTAACAATGGGATATTTCTGTGTAGATGTATTTAGCTGTGACTTCCTCAAAGCTGTGACTGTTGATCAAGATGTGATCAATTATTATTTAAGTGAATTATATTAATGTTTGCGTTTTATTTCAGAACAAATTCTTTGTCCAAGATGTCAAAATGGATCTACCTGTAGAATCGTACATCATGGCTATGTGTGTTACTGCCCTTTAGGTATGTGAAAACCCCCACTTAGGAAGCTCAAAGAAATTGATATAAAACTAATACAATATTGCACAGACAACATGTGTAAAGACGGCCATTACACTACACATAGTCACTGAACATTTAAGGAGACCACTTTGGTAAGATAATTATAACAAACCCATTCTTAAATTATTTCCAATTGACTGTAATTGTTTACAGGCCAAAAGGTAGACATTTTGATGTAAAGTACCTACGTTTGAGGTATTGGTTGCCATGGTTTTCAGGTTACAGCGGTAGGGACTGTGATGATATACAAGATTTCTGTGCGTCCAGGCCTTGTTACAATGGGGCGACCTGTACGAGTTCACTTGGAGCATACACCTGCTCATGTCCTCAAGGTAAAACTAATTCAAAAGCAAATATTAGATAATTAGCCTCATGTTTTATATGGAATGGGTTATATATTGATACACTAATCATAATGAAGAATTATTTTGCAGCCGAGCTGTGAATGCTTCTGTTATTAAATGTGTGTGATTAAGGATCCTACCACTGCTAACAACAAGAGAATACAACCTTTGATAAAATTGAATAAAAATAAATAATTGTTGTAGCGTAAACTCACTCCAAATGCGTCATTAATTATCTAATTTCACTTTTGAAAACCTCCATGTAGGCGTAAGTGGAGACAACTGTGAAGTGGATTTGGATGACTGTGGATGGGAACAATGTCAGAATGGAGGAGTGTGTGTCGATGGCCTGAACAGCTATACATGTGTGTGTCTGCCACCCTACTACGGCAACAAGTCAGTAGTCTTTGTGTATATCTGTTTCACTTCCTTAACAAGTCAATAGGCTACAACTACATTACTACAACAGAAACAACTCACTGGTCTGTGTGTGTTTCACGACCATGTTAACATGTCAGTGATCTTCGTTTGCTCACTACAATGTAAACTCGATTTAGAATGATTTGCTACTGATAATGATAATTGTGGGGTTTATGTTTTACCTTTGTATCCTTGCCCTGTACTTGTAGTTGCGAGTTGGATAACTCCACCCTGATTTGTGTGTCTAGGCCATGTGACAACGGTGGTTCCTGTATTTCTGTAAACAGTCTGTGGAGGAAATGTGTCTGTCCTCTAGGTTTCAAGGGGCGTGATTGTGAAGTTAACATCGGTAAGTGTTGTGTTAGGATGTCCAGCATCCCTAATACTGTAAACAACTTGTAACATAAATAAATGATCCTCAAAACTTAATGCCGCTCTATTTGTTCATAGATAATATTGAAGTAGAACATGTCTTTAACCAACACAAAGTGGCCTAAGAAATAAGTTCAGTTGATAACACTCCCTTCAAAGCATGATTTGTTAATATTTCGTTTACAGAAATATCGGGAAATGTCCGCAACATTGGATAAAAAGAGAAATTAATTCCAGACTAGCTTAGATATTCTTCTTACACAACGACATGCATATCATGTCGATCATTTATCGAACTATAATTAACTTAACTTTCTTAAATTGTTATTGAGACCACAAAAAGATACATTATGTATGATATATCAATATATTTATGATTATATTACATGTACCAAGAACTTGGAAAACAGGAACACCATCGATCTGTTGTAATGGGAGTACATTATATTGTCTAGACCTATGAACAACTGAATAACCTGGAAAAGATGAAATAATTAATTATCTAGAACTAGAAATATCCTTGATAAGTTGAACTCAGATGAAGTATTGAAAACACTGTTTCTTGGAAAATATCGTTAACTCAAAATTTGGTTTGGTCCGGAATGTTTAAATATCGCAAATAGCTCCTTCGATATACTAAAATGATGTTTTTTTTATATGAGTATGAAGCTGTAGCAACTGTGCAATGATGGATGTTGAATTTTGTGTGGTACCAATACTTAAGTGAAAAGGTTTTGACTGCAGAACCGTGAAGTGAAAATGTCGTTATAGTACTTTGTATACTGGAAAAACAATGGAAAACTGACTTATCTGACATCAACAAATGACTGCAGGATTACTTCGATCAAAAAGCGCATCGGTAAAACAAATGTTAACAAAGAAACTGCCGTCGTTTACAGGCTTTAAATACATGTTCGATGTCATTCAAGACAGGCGTCACTTATGCCTGATTTATATCATAATTCATTTTAAGTAAATGTTCAGTCACTCTACACTTTGATAATCAGACACCTTGGCTACCTACAGATGAATGTGCCTCCTCTCCTTGTCTTAATGGAGGAGTATGTGTGGACGGGGACAACTCCTACAGCTGTATCTGTCCGCTGTACCAGGATGACAGGTGTCAGACACCTAGGATCACATGTGACAGTCTCACCTGTGGTAACGCTGATAAGTGTTACAACGACTACAGGACTGGTCTTCCTCAGTGTCTCTGTAATCCGGGATATACTCTGGGTAGGTTCTTTTATACAGTACTACCAAATATAGTCTATACATTGCTACCAAATATAGTATATAGAGTACTACCAAATAGTGTATATACAGTACTACCAAATATATATATACAGTATTACCAAATATATATATACAGTACTACCAAATATATATATACAGTACAACCAAATATATATATACAGTACTACCAAATATAGTATATACAGTACTACCAAATACAGTATATACAGTACTACCAAATATAGTATATACAGTACTACCAAATATGTATATATATATACAGTCCTACCAAATATATATATACAGTACTACCAAATATATATATACAGTACTACCAAATATATATATCCAGTACAACCAAATATATATATACAGTACTACCAAATATAGTCTATACATTGCTACCAAAGTCTATACATTGCTACCAAATATAGTTTATAGAGTACTACCAAATATTGTATATACAGTACTACCAAATATAGTATATACAGTACTACCAAATACAGTATATACAGTACTACCAAATATAGTATATACAGTACTACCAAATAAATATTGTATATAGAGTACTACCAAATATAGTATATACAGTACTACCAAATACAGTATATACAGTACTACCAAATATAGTATATACAGTACTACCAAATATAGTCTATACATTGCTACCAAAGTCTATACATTGCTACCAAATATAGTTTATAGAGTACTACCAAATACAGTCTATACAGTACTACCAAATATTGTATATAGAGTACTACCAAATATAGTATATAGAGTACTACAAAATATAGTATATACAGTTCTACCAAATATAGTCTATATATTGCTACCAAATTTAGTATATATAGTACTAACAAATATAGTATATACATTCCTACCAAATATATATATACATTACTACCAAATATAGTATGTACTACCAAATATTGTATATAGAGTACTACCAGATATAGTATATACAGTACCACCAAATATAGTCTATACGTTGCTACCAAATATAGTATATACATTCCTACCAAATATAGTTTATAGAGTACTACCAAATATTGTATATTTGGTGGTACTGTATATACAATATTTGGTAGTACTGTATATAGTATATACAGTACTACCAAATATTGTATATACAGTACCACCAAATATAGTACAGTTGTGGGATCGCACAACGTTACACGATGTGCGGTGTGCGCACGATGTGTGCACGGTGTGTGAACGGTGTGTGCACGATGGGCGAACGATAAAAAGCTGGACGATCATTGCTTGCGCACATCTTTGCGCACGATGGACGGACGTTGTGCGATAACAATCGCGGTTGAGGTAAATTGAGGAATGCCTTAATAATTTATACGGTTTCGTGTTTAAACATATAAACTTGATGTTTACGTATGTTTCTATATTCTAGCAACATCTATAAACTTATCTGTCTGTCTATACATTCTTATATTTAGAAATTGTGTTTTCTGTGTTTTTAAACAAACTGAATCGGCACATGTAAAATTACAACACAATCCCTTATACAGGTAAACATAACCACTTTGTAAATGTACCTGGACCGTAGTTTTCTCCCCGCCTGGGGCACTTACATAACTCTTCGGGTAAGGCCGGGGTGTGAAAATCCAGGTGAAGGGGAGGTATAGGCAAACGAATGCAAATAACAAATACTATTCATTACGGTCAAACGGTATCGCATATCAGCTATGTGTGTCAGGCACTGGTCAGGCAAAACTCCGGACACTCATAAAATTGTTATTTACCTGTTCTGTTACCTTGGAGCCAAACCCATTCTTGACAGCCTAACGGTCGCTGTAATACTGTGTAACACGCATTGTGAAATTTTATAATCTTGATTATTGTGATGAGAAATTACAGATATATACACAGTTTACATTATCGCGAACGAGCCTTCCGTATTTTTGTCATTCTGTAATTTTGATCTACAAATGATGCAAAATCGCACAGTTGTGCGGAGAGAAGCGCACAACGGGGCGAACGATTGCTAAATCGCACAGTTGTGCGCACCATGTGTGGACGATGTGCGGACGGTGTGTGAACGATGCATGCACGGTGTGCGCACGCTATTTTTGGTGATTTGTGCGGTCCCACAACTGTATATACAGTACTACCAAATATAGTATATACAGTACCACCAAATATATATATACAGTACTACCAAATATTGTATATACAGTACTACCAAATATATATATACAGTACTACCAAACATATATATATATATACAGTACTACCAAATACAGTATTTATAGTACTACCAAATATATATATACAGTTCTACCAAATATAGAATATATAGTACTACCAAATATATATATACATTACTACCAAATATAGTAGATACAGTACTACCAACTATTGTATATACAGTTCTTCCAAATATTGTATATATAGTACTACCAAATATTGTATATAGAGTACTACCAAATATGGTATATACAGTACTACCATATATTGTATATACATTGCTACCAAATCTAGTATATAGAGTACCATCAAATACAGTCTATACATTGCTGCCAAATTTAGTATATAGAATACCACCAAATACAGTCTATACATAATATAGTCTATACATTGCTGCCAAATTTAGTATATAGAGTACTACCAAATATATATATACAGTACTACCAAATATAGTCTATACATTGCTACCAAATTTAGTATATACAGTACTACCAAATATTGTATATATAGTACTACCAAATATATATATACATTACTACCAAATACAGTATATACAGTACTACCAAATATATATATACAGTACTACCAAATATAGTCTATACATTGCTAACAAATTTAGTATATACAGTACTACCAAATATTGTATATACATTGCTACCAAATATAGTATATACAGTGCTACCAAATATAGTCCATACAGTACTACCAAATATAGTCTATACATTGCTACCAAATATAGTATATAAAGTACAAACAAATATAGTATATACAGTAAACCAAATATAGTATATACATTACTACCAAATAAAGTATATACGGTACTACCAAATATATATATATACAGTCCTACCAAATATATATATACAGTTCTACCAAATATAGTATATACAGTTCTACCAAATATAGTATATATAGTACTACCAAATATATATATACATTACTACCAAATATAGTATATACATTCCTACCAAATATATATATACAGTACTACCAAATATATATATATACAGTCCTACCAAATATATATATACAGTACTACCAAACATATATATATATATAGTACTACCAAATATAGTATTTATAGTACTACCAAATATATATATACATTACTACCAAATATTGTATATACAGTGCTACCAAATATTGTATATACAGTGCTACCAAACATATATATATATACAGTACTACCAAATATAGTATTTATAGTACTACCAAATATATATATACAGTACTACCAAATATTGTATATACAGTGCTACCAAATATTGTATATACAGTGCTACCAAATATTGTATATACATTACTTCCAAATAAAGTATAGACAGTACCACCAAATATAGTATATACAGTACTACCAAAAATAGTATATACATTACTACCAAATAAAGTATATACGGTACTACCAAATAATGTATATACTGTACTACCAAATATATCCACTTGACAGTTCTAACAAATATCACATATATACTACAAACAAATGTATTCACTTTATTGTATTAACAAAGAGATATTTTGTACAATTACTACTAATCATACTTACTGTTCTGCATAAGCAAATATGTCCATCGTACAGTGTTAGCTTATATATCCACTATACAATAGTACTTAATATGTTGATTGTTTATTAATACTTAAAATATCGACTAAATATTACAACCAATACAACAATCCTTGGTTTTTCATAGTTTAATTATTCCTTTATGTTCTTAATTTTAACTTTATTTCCAGAGCAAGGTCAGAGTGACTGTAGCCTGGTGGATGTTTGTGCGTCATCACCCTGCAAGAGGGGCGGGACCTGTACTAATATTCCTGGCGGCCATATCTGCAATTGTCCCCTAGGGTATGGAGGATCCCTTTGTCAGCATGACTTTGACGAATGTGGTTCCCAACCCTGTGTGAACAATGGAACATGTGAAGACAGATTCAACAACTACACCTGTCAATGTCTCGCAGGCTTCTCAGGTAAGTAGCCGAACGTATGTCTAGGTCAGAAAAACAAGATTATAAGCAAGGCAACAGATAATATCTAAGATTACATAAGACAGGTTGCAGAGATGATGTCTGGGAAAGATGTCCCAGAAGACGTCCGTCAGACCGTCGGTCAGTCCGCCAGTTAACGTCACGCTACCACAATTGGTACACTACCCAAATTGGTACACGGTCAGAAAATTGTTCGAATAGGACTTTAAAATTAAATTTGAGCATTTTCCTTTAACAGTAAAACAAAATAGATATTTATCAGCATTTCTGCCGAACAGTTTTGTTTTCAGGAACATTTTAAGAGTACACGATGACTTCAAAGTAAACATATCAGAAAACCAGTAAAAACGACGTACGTCGACGAAATTTTGGAGGATTTTCAAGGGGTTAAATATAAGCATGTTTAAATGTTGATTTCTGGTCCTTATATTCGGATAATATAAAAGTGAATATATACAATTATAGTTCAGTATGGTATCTATAAAAGCAATATATGTTGTTGTAATCGGCACATCAACTTGTAGAAATAAAAACAATTTCCATAGCCTGTGATATGGTGTACCAATTTGGGTACTATTTACGGCCGAAAAACGGACGAAATCTCACTCCGAGTTTAGCGTTCTATTTTCAAAAATAAATTACTTGGATATAAATCTTTTCCTGAAAATGAACCACCATAGGTAGTCTTTGTCAAGAATCAAGAAACATTCCAGATACAAGATCTGAATTTTTAAAGATCACTAAAAAACTGTCAAAATTGTACCAATTGTGGTAGCGTGACGTTAGCGCGTGAGTCACTAGTTCAGGAGCATACGTCATAGACTTTTTCCCCTACCGAATTTGGTTTGCAAAAAACTCTATTCGGATGACGGAGTGTAACTTTGTCCTTTGTTATGTGTATGCGCTTTGCACAGGGCAAATCTTATAAGCTGACACCTATGATAACAACACTTCATTCTACAGAAATTATGAAGCATGATTTCTCAATACTGATCACTTTTATTGGCCTGGATAGAAGCGGGAAGGGGCTCTGTATATTGAATGAAACCACAGTAACTTCAGAAAACGAAGATGGTCTGGCAGGCGACCCCTTACCTTTGGAGAATCGAACCTCGACCGTTATGCAAATACGATATCCGCGGCGCCTCTTTACCTCCCATTAAGTAACTAAGAAGTCTTGGTCACAAATTCCAGCGAATATATAGGTTACATATTCCAGAGAATTACTAGGTCACTCATTTCAGATGTAATCTTGGTCCCATATTCTAGATAATGTTAGGTGATATCTTTCAGATGATATTTATGTAACATCTTTCAGAGGATATCTAAGTCACAAATTGCAGAGAATATCTTAGTTACATATTCCAAATGATGTCTGGTCACATATTTCAGATGTTGTTTAGGTCACATTTTTCAAAGAATATCTAGATCAGGCACTCCAAATGATATCTAGGTCAGATAGCCCTTTTCATATTAAATTATAGTTACCTAGAAGACTTTTAGTTCTGGTAATGTCAGTATATCAAGGTAAGGGATTCCCTTGTTATCTAACATACTCGCTCTAGTCTGTCCCATATTGACATATTTTCTTACCTGGTCAGAGAATTATAGACTACAATATTGGTACTATCCTGATCCCCGACGAGGTAGATTTTGTTTTACCAGTTGAAATTAAATCACTGTTGTATTTAAACTAAAGGTGACGATTGTTCAACAGACAAGAATGAGTGTTTGAGTAATCCATGTCATCTCGCCGGCACACGTGTGTGTAACAATACCTATGGAGGTTTCATCTGTGAGTGCATGGACGGTTATTCTGGCTTCAACTGCTCCGTAAGTATATTAACTTTTACATAGCAGTTAATTCAGCCAATCCAAAACAGTGAATGTTTCAACAAGACTATTATAAATTTAGTCCTCCATCACTTTATCCCACTAAAACTTTCCATTTAAGGTACACGAAGACATGGACCCATGTTTCAGCAGTCCGTGTCTTCATGGCGGTATCTGCAGGGGGCGGAACACAAGTTTCGAATGTGAGTGCAGGAATGGTTGGATGGGTCCTTGTTGTGAAATGCTGGTCGACTATTGTGCAGACGTTGCTAACCCTTGCCTCCACAATGCATCTTGCATCAGTCTTCAAAATGACTTCTTCTGCAGGTAACCACGTTATAATGACCACACTGCGCGCTAGTATAGCAGGCTGACTAATTCGTATTTCAGTTAAGCGGTTGCATGTCGGCTCGTCCACGTACTGTACCAATTATATACGGTTAATTGTAGTTGCCCAACTGGTACCTATGGTCGATACTGTGATAGTCTCCCTGGCCTGTGTACTCGCCTGAACCCTTGTCTGAACCTTGGAAACTGTACCGCTGACGGGGAAATCTTTACTGGATGCAGTTGTTCTGATGGTAAGACAACCAATGATAACGTAACGATAACGTATACATGAATAAAAGTCATGAAGTCTGCTAAATCTTACTAAACGAAGATATTTATACATAGTTATATTCAGTACTATTCATTTATTGTATAATTCGTTGTTTTCTTTGTTATTTGAAATTAAAATATCTTGATACCTGTAGTTATTAATTAGACCTACATTTTCAGAATTCTATGGTGACGGTTGTCAAGTAGTGAAAGACCACGACTGTGCCAGTAGTCCTTGTCTGCATGGAGGCACATGCTCACAGGATTCCAGCGGCCATATATTCTGTTCTTGTTTACCAGGTACTGAAGTGTTACAGCTTAATCGTATAATTGGTAAACTCGGAGGAAAACATTATTTTAAAGTAGCAATGTGATACAGAATTATTGAATTCAAAGCAAATAATATTTGTATTTGACAGTTGATCCTGCATGTAAGTGATTATATTTACTATCAATATACCGATATGATACTATTGTAAACATAATTTTAAATATTAGAGTTTAAATCATTTCAGCATAGAAGAATTATTATCACAAGTACCATTCCTTCATGTAGATATGTGGATAACAGGGCAGTGCTGATCCTTTTCAGGTTACCATGGTGACCAGTGTCAGTATGATGTAGATGAGTGTGAGGAGGTTATTTGTCCAGGTCTGGGGACATGTATTGATGGGGTCAACAAGTACTATTGTCGCTGTCCTCTTGGTAAACTTCCACCTAACTGTACAGAGGGTAGGTATACAACAAACAGACATTACTGTCGCTGTCCTCTGAGGATAGGCATGCTACCAACAGAAAGGGAAAACTAGCACAACTGCCGCTAACCTCTAGACAACCCCCTTCACTACAAAGATAGTGCGTACATTCTTTCTAGACCACATTCAATAGTGACATACTCTGGGAAAAGGTATATGAACAGTATACTTCCTGGTGCGAGGAGGAACGATTACAATGTTAAAGATCTCGCTAGTATTTCTCCATAAACAACTAGACACTGAACTAAATATTGCTGTCTGTAGATATTAGAATGCTGTTATTTGTTGAAGTCACAATACTGTCATTTGTAGATATGGAAATACTGTTGTCGGGAGAAATCAAATTAGGAGTCAAAATACTGCTGTCTGATATAGAAATTCCGCTGCTTGTAGAAGTCCATTTATATGAAAATCCAGTGTTCTGTTATAAGAATAGATGTCTGCCATACCCTCAGCCTTGAAGTCATTTTTCGGTATTTTCAGATGTCACGGTTACCCATGATGTGTGTTTTGAGTCTCCCCTGCGAACAGCGAGCGCCTCTTTACCTTTTGGTATACCAATGAATCACCAATACATGTCAGTCAGTTTCTGGGTGAAATTCTCAACAAAAAATGGAACTGGAACCTTCTTCTCCATGTTTGAACAGACGTGCGTATTTTTGTTATTGTATGTGAGAATACTTTATATCAAGGTTATTAGGTAATGAGTTACACGTCTGATCGGTATCGCATACTCTTTTCTGATTTGTAGATAATTTAACAAGTGGCTTACAGCTTATTAATGTTTCCATTGAGTTACCTTATATTGGAATCTACTTAAAGTACTCCGTATGAAACCTTATATTTCCACGTATCATTACAACAACGCTAGAAAGGAATTATGAAGGATCTGCTACCAATGATAAAGTGTCAAGGATATTCCTACTGTATAAAATCCTTCTTCGTCTAACCAAATTTTGTAGGATTCCACTCCACGCTTTCGTAAGTGGCGACTATTGTCAAAACCGAGCAAACCGGAGTTTCTCTGTGACTTCTGTTTAGGGGATATTGAATAAACCAAATTTGATATGATGTTTCCATTGTAATTGTTCGGGTCCATGTTTGTCCTGTCTAATCCACTAACTTCATCCTTTCAGCAGTCTCTAACAGCATCCACCTTCATATCCTAGGTGTTAGGTTAAACCCCAATGTTAGGTTAAACCCAAAACAACCTTTTGTCTGACCAATGATTATGTACCATATATAAGATCTGACGAAATATATTATATTCAAAGATAATGATATATCGGATTAGTTCATTAATAGTTCCTACAAAGTTCAATGTATCAGAAATACGTAAACGTGTTTGAGGTTGTTCGTCATCCATCTTAAATAAAACAAACACAGTGAGCATTGTCATGCTAATGATATGATCTGTTGCCAAGCGATCCTGGTTCCCACACAGATCAAGTGTTCCTTGATTCACCTTAATAAGTAAATAGTGATGTATTTCACATGTTGTTTTACCTAGCGACCCTGGTTCCTCTACTGGACTGATGTTACTGTTCAGTCTGGCCCATGACGGCCTTCGCCTCTCTGTTAATACCACAGAGGACACAACAAGCTTTGGCTCTTACAGTATAAACAGTGGAGTGTGGCACCTGCTCGTTATCACATGGGACGCTACCATAGGAAAGGTGGAGGTCAGAGCCAATAGTATACGTCTGATACAGCTGACAGACTATCAGCAGGGGAAACTTCTCAATAAATCGTAAGTTGTATTTTTTCGTATTTTAATCTAAAGAATAAGTTAAAAAGAGGTTTTTCTATGGATTTTTTTTTCTTTCAAATTCATACTCATGTTCCGATTTCTTTTCAAGATTTTCATAAATGTTCCATATTCATGTTGTGGTCCAAACGGTATACTTATTTCAAATCAAATTAAATCTATGTTGATTTGAAGAATTTTGTTCTCTTTAAATTTGGCTCAATGTTTTACAGTTCCAATGAGTCATCTTTAAAATAAAAAGGAATACAGATTTATCTCAATACAAATGTTTATAAAATATGAAAACCTACTATGCGTATCTATGTGTTTGCAGTTACTGGATTACACTAGGACATGAGTTTTCCACTGCCAGTATGACGTCTGTGATAGGAGGGGGATTCCAGGGCTGCCTATCTCAAGTGAATGTGTTTAGTTATATACTGGACACTAACACACAAGTAACAAATATGATGTTGGACCCCTTCACTGAGGGGGATCGTGGAGATATCCTTCAATGGGACGAGTTTGAACTTTGGGGTCTTGTCAGGAGAGTACGACCTAGTACTATACAGGACCCTGTCTGTACTAGCTGTTTGTCTCCAGGTAAAGCAGTCTTCCCAGTTGTATAAAAAAATATATTTTTATTTTGTAATTTACTATCCGTTTAGTCTAACACGATTAGGTTTCAAAAGTTGCATTTAATGCTGATCTTGTGACTGCTTCCTGTATCAGAACTGGTATAAACATACGGGATCAGTCTTACCTTTATCTACCATGTTTGGTAGACAACGATATCTGACACTTAACTGTAATATTTGTTGTTACATAGAGCAGGCTGACCCTTTCCTGCCAATATGCATATTACATACAAGATCTGTATAATTATCACTAATACATATACGTATGTTTCATACAAGAGCAGTTCGATTCACACAGTTACATACATGTACAGAAACACTCGGATTCTAACATATTAAGTGTATTACCTACAGCATTGTTACTTGCCCGGCTATGTTTATGTATTAAAGCTAAGAAGAGTCTTAGCCTCACCTGCCCTAAGGATGTGTACTTGGTCTCTACCCTCCCATACAGCCCTGTATCATGGAGTCTCTCACACCACCAGGGAGTGCTTTCAGTGAGGACAAACATGCCATCAGGTAAGAAGTGGTTATTTATAGTATCCTCATGTTAAGTAGAAATGAGTCCTCTTATGATGATGAACCTATTGTCGTTTGTTCTAGAGTGAGCCCTCGAGGTAAAACATACTTTTTCAGATGGTGCATGGGTGAATCAGAATCCCGACATGGGAGTCTGAATCTAAGCAGACTCGAACTACAGGGGGATAATAGCTTGATATCACAATGTGTAATTTTTCCCATTTTTCTGGAAAATATACTATCTATCAAATTTACACGTTCGAATATTGTTGGTTTCATCAAAGATATAGGATGATATTATAATATTGTTTAGTATTTGGTGACAATGGCCTTTGACCGTTGAAGTGTTTGTTATCGAATCACCTTCAGCTGCACGGATTATTCTAGGAGGACAGACATACCATCAAGTGAAACATATTTTTTGAACATCCCTATAGTTTCGGGGGAATAATTCTTGTCCGGTGTGATGTTAGAATGTTCATGAGAATGAACGTTTTTGTCATTGTAGGTACTGTCTTGCCTCCGGGAAGACACATTGTGATATACACAGCATTAGACACTAACAACAATACTGCCGTCTGCTCCTTCAGAATCTACATTAGGGGTAAGTGGTTTGATGTTCTTCTGTATTATGGTTTGCGTATTCTTGTCCGTCTTTTTATTGCGATTATTTGTCAATATATCTGCTCCCTGTTTTATTCAGAAAACCAATGTGAGTTCCCTAGTTTAGTTGGAGGTGTGGCTAAGACTTGTCGGACTGGTGGTTTCGGTAATTCTTACACTGGATGTTCTCTGTCTTGCCCTTCCCTCCACCACACACTGAGCCAGACTACGCCCCTCTTATACACATGTGGGCCTCTAGGATGGTGGGATTCAGTGGCAGACCGGACGTGCGATCCTACCTACCCTACATGTGGAAGTAGGTGCCCGTTGATTTATTATACATGTATCACTTGCATGATTATGTTATAGGCTAACATAATCTGAAGAAACATTTTTGTGAACAAAGTTATATGTAATTGTTTAAATTATCATTTTTTTTGGAAGTAACATGTGAATTCCTCCCGATAACAATCATCACTTGCCACTTGACAGATATCACCTCAACGGCTCTAGTGAATTTGAAAGTGAGGCTGGTGTACTCTGCTGCCCTGACTACGTGTCAGCAGGTCAGGAATAGCCTGGAAACTTACATACGCCAGCATGTCACTGCCTTAGACAAGCACTGGGGCAACACGATGTGTACCCAGCTCGGCTGCACGGATGTGGTCCTAACTATTACCTGCAGCTCGCCAGCACCAGTAGTGGAGATTGTCATCAGCAATATTGCGTAGGTGCAGTATGTTGGATACTGTCAATGTCACAACCATTGGGAAGCTGTAATCTATTAGATATTGTCAATATTAACAGCATTGGTTAGATGTTACTATGATTGACGTTTAATGACATATCGTTATGTTTAAATGTATGTTGCAGAGTGATTTCGCAATCGAATTTCTTTGTAGATGTTTGCGAAAAGTAATATGAAATGTAAGGAATTTCTAGTGACATATTGATTTTATGTACATCTATTTCCATTGACACAGCTATTTGCAAATGTGTGTGCTCGGACATTTTATCTTGTATAACTATGGGCATGCATGTACATGCATAAATAAATATTTCATTTTCGCTGAGCTATGGACATATCTGTAGAATTATATATTTCTATTGCTTGCGTTATGGAAAAAGTTCTTAGCGTTAATAAAGCATAATATAGACGCAATTTAAGCGTCAAAATTGGCACTTTCAATCACTAAAGAATGGAAGTGGTTGAGTATAATTGTACAAAACATTTATTAGTAACTTTTTTGCAAACTTTCAGCGTCATTTCTAAATAACTGTACCTTTATGTTTAAATTGTGATATCAGATGTTTAGCTTGATATTCATCGTTTTCATATCATAGAATGACTTTGATCATAACTGGAGGAGATTCCAAGAGTCCCAAGGAGATTTTTACTCAAGCACTCCTTGACCTCGACAGATTCCACTTCGAGGTGGGTAGTCAAAGATATACTTCAATTACCGTTGAAGTGAAACTGGTGTAATGCACGAAAACTAGTGTTACTCAGCCTTGTTTTCTGTATGCGATATATTTTATTCATTTTGTTTCTATAAACAGTGTTACCTGTTAACCAATTATGTAACAGAGATATTAAAGCTTAAATTGACTTGGTTTGATCGAGCAGTATATGTTCTGGGTTAAAAGCCCATACACTAACCTCTTTCTGTAGTATCAAGTTTGTTCTGTATGATGTGTTTTAGGAACAGATTCCAAACACTAACCCTCTGATAGGCCTGTCAACGGTTGAATCGACCCTGATCTGCCCCGACGGACACCTGCTTGTGGACACTGACTGTGGTAAATAGCTCATAAAATGAATCATTGATATTCGCTAAGAAGGAAAATTGTAAAATTCAGATAGACATTTAGCGAAGCTTATAAATCAAAGAGTTGTGTATCTCATTATTGAAATACAATCGAAATATTAAACACAACATATAGGACATTAACAGCTATTACTCGCCATGGCATTTTCGTTTGAGCTGACCTGTTTGACGGTAATATAAGTATCGTCATCACTGGTTAACATTTCTGGTTAACCTAACCTGCTAATATTTCTTACTAATTTTCTAAATTGACATTATTAGGGACATCTGTTTCAACAGTTATATAGACAATTTTGGATTTTCACCGGTTTGGCCCCTAGCATGACCGATTACCAGAGAAGGACATACCAGCTGTTTGTCGCAGTGCAATTCATCTTGGCAAACTGTATCTGTTACTTAAAGCTGACATTACCTGTATGTGTCGTTACGTTAGTACCAGTATGAAAGACAGTAATTGCTTGTGAATATGCCGGAATGGATAGTATATTTCGTATTTCCTGGCAAATAAGTCCTTTCCTGTTCGAAGAGTTCAGAAAAAATCTCCACCAGAGATTTATTGATCAATTCCAGTCAAACAAATACGTATTTGATAGTGTCCCGTCTACACAGTTGTATAATGATATAAAGACCACAATCAAACGGGACATTATACAACCCAATTTTTTAAGTATTAATTGCAACCGCTTAAATGTTGGACTAGTTAGGCTAACAAGCTGTCTATCACTATTTAATGACTTAAATAAGAACATATTACATATAAGGGTCTGATTACATATTCTATCTCGAATGTACGACACGAGACTCGTGTTTTCCTATTTCAGTTATTTGCGGTTTTGGAATGTACCTCAATAGGACAACTCAGTCTTGTTATCACTGTCCTAAAGGATTCTACTATGACACAACCGATGGAAACACTTCCTGTCGGGCATGCCCAGATGGAACCACAACAAAATGTTCTGCAGCGGTGTCTCTGGTACAGTGTCACGGTAGGTGTACTGGGAGCAGTAAAACCTGTCTAAAAGAAACACTTCAAGGAATCGCTTAACTGATTGTTTTCTTCATGTGCAACTTATTGTCTTTTGTGCGTAAAGCTGAATGTTTAGTACATTAATTATCGATTGTTTTCTACATATTGTAATTTATGGTTTCCTGCCTGAGTAACTTATATATAATTTTTTTCCGTTTCCTACATTTTAAAGCAAAAGGAATGGTGAACAACTAAGATTCCATCTAAATTTATTCTACATTTCATAGAGATTGACTGGATATTTTGGAACATCGCAAATGCTGTAATACAGCTGCCAGTAATCCATACTATTTCAACTCGTCTGAGTAACAAATGAGTTAACTTATGGCAGTTTAAATAGAATTAATAGTGCAAATAATTTTCTTAAGTACGTCCACATTCCAAGCATCCATTTCCTCAGTTTTAATATATTCTATAAATCGGAGTATGCAATGACAAATTAATTTGTGTTTGTTAACCCTACAACTATATGGTCGTCAACTTTATTATCTTCCTATGAAGAAACTAGATTATGTCTGTTTTGCTGTAACAGCTGTATGTGAGAGCGGGTCGTTCTTCAACATGACTGCAGGGATATGTGAGTTGTGTAACCTGGGAACATACCAGAAAGAAAGTGGACAGTTTCAATGCCAACCCTGTCCATTTGGTCAAACAACTATTCAAAACGGCACATCGGACATCAAACTGTGCTTCGGTACGTTCATTTTAAAGATAGAGAAGCATATTCAGGTAATATCAGTGTGAGTTCTTATGAAGACATTTTTCGGAGTCTGGGGTTGAGCAAACTGTCGAACTACAGCGTGATTTCATTTGATTGTAAAAAGCAACATTATTTTCATTTTGACTGTGACAATGTTGTATTTATTGTTTCTTTCCATTTGCTTATTGTCACACCAATGTCATATAAATTGTTCGCTGGATATTGACAAATGAATATGAATCGTAATCTCCCGTTTTCTGTTATCCTCTTTCATGTAAAATGGAGAAAAATATGTAAAAGGTTAGGAGAAACGGTGTAAAGGAAGGGAAATTTGTATAACAGATAGCAGAAAAATCTGTAAAGGGTGGGTGAAAAATCTGTAAAGGGTAGGAGAAAAATCTGTATAGGGTAGGTAAAAGATCTGTAAAGGGTAGGAGAACAATCTGTAAAGGGAAGGTGAAAAATCTGTAAAGGGTAGGTGAAAAATCTGAAAAGGGTAGGAGATAAATATATTGAAGGTAGTAGAAAATATGGAAAACGAATTTCAACAGGAAATAAGATAACGTTTCGATTGTCTTACTTATCTAAATGTCATTAAGATACAAAACAGCTAATATAACAGTGTATAAAATGATGTTTTTTTTTCTTCCAGACATGTGTCCCCTTGGGTTTGAAATTACTCATAAGGGTCCGTGTCGTGTGTGTGAGGCGGGGACATATCGTGGGGAGGGGGATGGACCTATGTGTGTTCCCTGTACCTCCGGGATCACCACACCAGGCAACGGCTCACAGACAGTCCTCAATTGTACCATAGGTATGCCTGTGAGATTCGTATCTGGTGGACTAAACTAGCATTATCTTCTCTTTGGGTTTTTTCTTTACAAAGACATACATTCTAAAAATATATAGCAGATTGTCCAATGAATGTACAATCTATTTCACAAATAACAACAGAATACCGATACATTTCACAGTATAGAAGATATGGGTGCCATCAACTTAAAATAATCAAATATCTTACAGACATTTTTAACCACTGTCATGTATTATATAAAAGCCGTTCACAACTGAGTTCTTTTGAAAAAATAAAAAAAACTGAAAAGAACCTTTATACTTGGAGTGGACAAAATGTACACTATTGATATATTCAAAATACTTATATCACTAATAAAACATGAAATATTCAGAATGTTTTGAAATAACATCAGCGTATCTTTAACATTAAGAACGCAGTCTTGTATTTATAGATCCTCTCTCATTACACTCTGAACGTTCTATCAACATCAACCTATTATAATCTTAATGTCATGTTTTGTCAAGTTTTGTCATGTTTCCAGTGATATGTCCCCCTGGCTATAGAGCAGAACGTAACAGCACTAATTGTAAGCCATGTGAGCTTGGACAATACCAACCTCATTGGAACCAGATAGATTGTCTCTCCTGTCCTGAAAACACGACAACCGAGATGGAGGCAGCTGATAATGTGACAAAATGTGAAGGTATATATAGATATTCCTAAGGGTAATTAGTCATTTTGAAGCATGTGGTTGTAATTAATATTTAAAGAATTGGGTTGTATTATGTCCCCTGTTTGATTGTGGTCCTTATATCATTATACAATTACACAAACAATGTACGTATTTAACGTATCGCAACGTTTCAAGACCGACTTGTCCCTTTGTCAAGCTATGGTAGTCATAGCATGACAAAGGGACAAGTCGGTCTTGAAACGTTGCGATACGTTTAATACGTACATTGTTTGTGTAGAAAGTAAAACTTTGATAACACATATTTCCAAACTGATGAATCTAATTCAAGGTAATAATAAAAATAAGGTACACCTTAACTACTTTAACCAGTTTACCTTATGTATAGCTACCTCTTTTGATTATATTGCCCAAAGTGACATCCCATGTAATATAGGCATAATATATTGCTCCGACTGTCTTTATCCTTCTGACGATATATTGCATCCTTCTCCCAGTTTCCTGTTAATCTGTAGTATTTTAGTCAATGAAAGTGTAATAAACACCAGGAGAACATTCTAATAAAATTCGTTACTCTAATTGAATATTTAGCAGCAACGGATGATAGTACAAACATTTAGTTTCTGGAAGGACAAGATTTGTTACCGGGAATTACGTGAAAGCTAAGTTTATGAAAAACAGACATAGTTGTACATGCATCACTTCACCCAATGGATGTTGCTCACCAAGAGACGTTCTCTGAGCGTACTAAATAGCGCTAAGTAAGAAAACAAGTGGTAGCCCTTTCAACAATCTAGATTAACGTACAAAAAAGGTTCCTCGTCACATTTCCAATTTAGGTTTGAGAAGATTTCTAAGATTTAAAGTCCAAGTCATAAGAAGAACGACGGACCGGCAAACGAGCAATGTCTAGGCTTGCCACCTTCAGGATCTATGTGTATACAGTGTTTCTCTCACATTCTGTCACACAGTGTTTTGCGAGTCTGGTTATACGCGGGTTGCTGATGAGTGTGTTCCCTGTCCTGTGGGTCAATACAAAAACAACAGTGATGGCAAGCTAGGACATTGTGTGACTTGTCCTGTGGATTATGTGACCCCAACGAATGCGTCCACATCCAGCACAAACTGTAGTCTATGTAAGTACCACAACATTGTATCTCTAGTGGTTCACTTTACATTCAGATAATTATAAATGAAATGCATTCTAAATTATTTTAAAATAATATTCCTGATATAAATTATTATTAAAAGGTAACCGCATTTCAAAAGTAAATACAGTAAGATGAGCAAATAATTAAATATAATCACAGTATGATGTACAGATAATCAAATAATGCTAGATGTTTTGCTTCACAGATAATTGTACAGAAGGATCAAAGATAAATGGCAACAATTCTGGATGTGAGTTATGTCCCCTGGGAGAATATCAGTCTCATAAATATCAAACGAATTGTCTCCCTTGCCCTGACGGCTCTAGTACACCACAGATAGGCGCAATACAATGTGAAGGTTCGTGACAGTGTAAAACGCGTAATCCATGTAATAGATCTTTTTCTTTTTAGTCAATAACAAAAGTATTACATTATTTATTGTCTGGAATCACTTTTGAAAACAAGATATTATTTCACTGCATATTTCCTGGATATATATAAGAGGACTGTGCCTATTCCAGTGTTCTGTCGATCGGGCCAGCAGCTGAAGGGTGGCCAGTGCGAATTGTGTCCTATAGGTCATTTCAAGGACAATACAGACGGACGTTTTGGGGAGTGTCAGCCATGTCCTGTTGACTTCATTACTGCTACCGACGGAGCTACCACTGAGGATCTGTGTGTTGTCGGTAAGGATATGTGTATCGTTAGGCAGGACCTTTGTGTATTGATGGTGAAGATCTATGTGTTGTTGGCGAAATGTTTTTAACTATTGTTGAGGATATTTGTTAGCGAAGATCTGCTGGCTGTTGTGGAAGGTGTGTTTGTTCTCTTGTGAAGTTATGTGATCTGTTGTTGAATATCTGTATGTTTTTAAAGTTAACATTAGGGAAAACGTTTACTTTACATTCTATGTTATGTACATGGTTGGTTTTCCTATTATTGTAAAGATAATTTGTTATTTCAAGGGAACTGTACGCCAGGCCAGTTCTTGGTGAACGCAACCCTGGACTGTACGGACTGTCCTGTGGGGACATACCAACCAAACAAATGGCAGACGGCGTGTATCCCCTGTCCAAATGACACGACAACACAAGAGGAGGGAACAACACAACGATCACAATGTTTCTGTGAGTCTGAAGGGGAAGGGACAATTTAAAACATTGTTGTACTGATTTTGTATTATTTCCATGCGCATTATTGTGTTCCTATCTATTATTATGGTTATCCTTTTTTTACCATGTCCATTATTTTGTAACTATGTAGTGATACTATGTCTGATACTGTGTCAATAGTAACCTGATACATGTTATTAGGTAAAGGTGATAAAATGTATGTGTAAACAGAGTGTATAGTTATAATTTAGAAATAATAGAATATCAATATATTCAAGAATAAAGAAAATTGAATCAGAAGCTCCCCGATGCACAATTTCCATCTCGAGTTTTCATTATTAGAGTGTTATGTCTGATGACATGTAACACTCATATGGGTATGTATTTTCAGTGTTTTGCGATGCGGGTTATGAAGGAAGCAATTTAACCTGCAATCCTTGTCGTGTTGGGTACTACAAGCCGGTGGCAGGTGCTTTGCCTTGCTCAGCCTGTCCGTCAGCTTATAGAACACAGGGTGTAGGGGCAACGAACGAGTCACAGTGTCATGTCGGTCAGTATATTGTGTATTTTATGTGTTCAGGGAAAGGTTGATGACAATGACTAATGTCCTTTGAAAATAATGAATAACATTATTTAAGTTTTGATAACTTAAAATATACATTATAAACGTGTTCATAATTATTGTGTCTATATTATTTTTAACATTGTATGCGTTATTATGTTTGTACTTGATATTTAATCATATAAAGTCATTCAGGTATGAAATGGTTTATAACTTAAATGAACTTTAATCATTCAAAATATTTGATGACGCAATATTTTTCATTGTCAATTAAAAGTAAAATACACAGATTTTGTTGGCGTGGTCATAGGCCATGGTCCATGGACTTTTTACATCACCATGCCAATTTTAGTAAGATCTTGCCAATAAAAGTTGTATTGCTTTATAAAGCACTACAGATAATTGGTTCTATTAATATTAATGAAGTGTTTTTTTTTTTTATTTATTAATGATTAATTGTCGTTTTCTGGCAGTTGAGCTTGTAAATCATTCGAAGAGTTCGGATTTTTAATAGACAAAAAATATATCCTATATATCTACAAAAAATATATCCTATATTTTTTTTGGTTTATAGGTAATTAAAAAATAATCACTTCTTACATTTTGCACCACGGAACGCCATTTATGTTATCACTGTTCGCATTATTGTTTTCTGTTTTAAAATGCCACATTCTTACTCTCATTAACTAGTCTCTCATCGATGAGGTATACAAACGTATTTTTTTTATTACGTTTATACTTGTATTTAGATAGCATAAGATATAATGAATTTAAATCAACCTTTTATCGATGAATTAAATCTCCTCTCCCATATATAACCTTCATATACCTAAAAACAATTATTGTACCAATATTATTTAAAGACACTTATTTCAGTTAGACTTTTGGTGAGCATTTTTGTCATTTTCATCATTATAACGCCAACATGGGTCTAACTTATTTCACTTTTCAAATGGAAATCATGATATACGAATAGGATAGTGATTTTTTTCATACTGTAAATTTGAAGTGTCAAGATATCATTCTGGTCACTATCCCTGACATGAGTAGTTTTTTTAACAGCGGCTTGTGAGCCTGGTACTTACCTTCAGAACGCAACCTGCGAACAGTGTCCCTATGGTCAATATCAGATTGATTGGTGGCAGGATGTTTGTGTCGCTTGTCCCCCTCAGACCACCACCTACAGACAGGGGGCAGCACTTCTATCCGATTGTGTCAGTAAGTGAACTGAATATATGTAAATGAAACAATACATCACAGGCACATGTTGTATGAGTCCGTTGACTGTGTTTGACAGTGGACTATGAACGCGTGCACTTATCTTCTATGTTTGTTGTTTAGCAGTGGATTGCCAGGGTACGCACTTTCCTTCTTTGTTTTGCTGTTTGACAGTGGATTATCATGGTACGCACTTACCATCTATGTTTGTTGTTTGACAATGAAATGTCAGTGTACGCACTTACCTTCTATGTTTTGCTGTTTGACAGTGGATTGTCATGGTACGCACTTACCTTCTATGTTTTGTTGTTTGACAGTGGAA